TTTTTTTTCTATCACTTTTACAACGATATATTTTAAATAATGATTAATAAAGTGTACGTATGCTTCTAACTGTGTGACTCAACCATTAAATGCCTAATAATTTTACTTCTATTTTACCTGTTCATCAACTTAATAAACCATCTAGACCACTCTAAAAAGCTAGAATTTGACTTATCAACGTTACTTAGATTACGGCTACTTAAAATGGTTAGCTGTCTGCCACTCATTAAGATGACGATGCTTCTGAACACATCTAAAGTTCACCATCTACTTTTTTTCTGACTGTAATTTATCAACGTTGTAAAAACCAGAAAATAGCGTCTAGTTTCCGAAGTAAATTATAAGAAATGACTTTTTTGAGCATTATATTTTTTTTTCTTTTCAATAATTGTTTCTGTATTCCTCTGCTAAATGGAAAAGTATTACAAAACAATTTGGGAGTATTTGTTGTTAAATTTACTGAAAGTTTTGGTAAATTTCAAAAAAAACAACAAATACTGCCTAAATTTATAAAGCATTCTGCTCTTTCTTTTCATTTTTTTTCACAGCACACCTAACCAATGACTGAAAAAAATATAAAAAATTTTCATTTTTATTTCATTTTATCTTATTTATTTATTCATTAATTTTTTTTGCCAACCAATCAACCCCACCTTATTGTCTGTAGATTTCTAGCAACAGAACAAATTTTGTCCTTTTTTTTTCTTCCGTCTACAACTTTTTTTGCTTTCTTTTTTTTTGTCATCTCAAATCAGTGGATCAGTGATCACACCAAGAATGGTTTCAAAAAGGAATTTGAGGGAAGGAAAAGAAGAGATAACGACAACTTTGAAGTTTGCTCAAAAAGTTTCAAGACATTTTAATCGGCTAAAAAAACAGCAGTTGACGCTATTGTGTGAAGAACCAGCAGACCGGTTAGTATGAGTTGTTATTAGTTGGTCACCCATCAAAATTTAGGTTAACGAATAAATCTCTCGTTTTCTGTGTTCATCAATTGCCCCCCCCCCCCCTCTACTTCTTCTTCCTGTCTCTCTCTGTCCCTCTCTCTGCTTCTTTCTCTCGCATTCCCTGATAAGCTTGACAATTTACGCGAGCAAAGAGAACAATAATATTTATTTACATTTCTGAACTGCCCGAAAATTTTTACCGACAAACACTTTGAAACATTTATTTTGATTTTAGGTCAAAACAAAAACCAATTTAACCCTATATGCTACCCTTTAAAACGACCTCAAAAATAAATTGTTTTTAAATCTTGTTTCGGTTTCAACTGCGATATACACTGTACAATGCTAAAAAGTTGTTCACTGCAACAACAATCATCAAATTAGAAAACTCTCATTTACGATTTGTAAACCAAAATAACTGAATAGCACGAGGATCAGTTTAGTTTTTTAAGCCCTAAAAATAAACACTACTATGAACTGTCTCTGTTACAGTCAACACCCATTCAAAGAACTTCCCATACTCCATTTAGCAAAAAGCTATTTTTACTATAAACAATAGTAAATAACACACTTTTAAAAAAACTTCATGGAGAAGTATTTGATACAGAAGTAAACAATTTCTTTTTTTTTCGTCTTTAAAACAAAAACTATTGTCATTATTTGATAATGATTAAAAAGACAAGAGACTAGTAATATTTCATATAAAAAACAATCAAGTTTAATCACAACTTAGTCCACATCACGCAAAAATATCATGTAACTATAGGCTGTGCTAAAAGCTAAAGAATTTTATTGACAAAGCAGAATTTAAGCATTAAATGAATAGTATGAAAAAAATAAACCTGATAAATTTCATTTAGTTTTAGACGCTTTTCAGGACTACTTTCGATAGCTTCAATAATCAAATCTTTATAGCTCAAACTCGGTCGTTCCGCCTTCTCTAATGAAGTTGGCTCGTTGGAATTAATACAGTTTCCTCTAGCGGTAGAAGAAATATTCAACGTAGACTCCGTTTGTAGACTACTCTCGCTAGGTGAAGAAGTCGGTGAAACCGATGATGACGATGGGCCAGCATTGGTAGCTGGAGTCCCTTGGAACTGAGAATTACGTAAAAGAGATGGATTTATGAGATCCATAAGTTCCATGGCGGCCTTTTGGCCTGACAGTTGACAGAGGTCCAGGGTGGTTAAAAGTAGGTTTTTAAAGAACAAAAATCAAATTGGTTCCTAATATTTCTTCTCCGTTATGTTTCCCCTTATTTCTCCAATAAATAACCACTGAGACTGTTCAGGTGCAACAAAAGCGGATCCTGAAAAGAAAGAATATTATATGCTGTAATTTGCTTATTTGCCCTTTATCCAAGCTCATCTAACTAAACGGACAGAAAAGCAGTAAAAAACCAAATTGGCAAAATGTGACTTTACAAGCGTAAAACGAACAACAAAAAGTTTTTTATATGAGCCTATTAGAGCGCAAGAAGTATAAGACGTGAAAGCGAAAAAAAAAAAAAACGCAAAGGAGCGTATATATTATAAGTCACCAAACAGAAAAACTTCAAAAATAAAAAAAAAAGTAAGCACAAACAGTGATTCTTAAAGTAAAGTAAAAACAATAATTAACTAATTGTTTTTGCAGTGACAGCATCCGTTAAATCAAAAATAAATTAATCAATCCAATTAAAAAACTCAACAGACAATAATCTGACTCAGAAATTCACGAGTCATAGCTGTCACCAGTAACAGCAGTAGAAATAACACTTTCAGCAGCATTAGCAGCAGCAGTAATTGCAGCAGCAGATGCAGAAGCCCATCTGCTTACAGTGTCGCATCATTACCGAAACAGCAACAACAACTCCACCAGACAGAAACATACAAATACAAACAAA